TATTCCTTTATACCAAGTGTGGTGTTTACAATATTCCTTTATACCAAGTGTGGTGTTTACAATATTCCTTTATACCAAGTGTGGTGTTTACAATATTCCTTTATACCAAGTGTGGTGTTTACAATATTCCTTTATACCAAGTGTGGTGTTTACAATATTCCTTTATACCAAGTGTGGTGTTTACAAAATTCCTTTATACCAAGTGTGGTGTTTACAATATTCCTTTATACCAAGTGTGGTGTTTACAATATTCCTTTATACCAAGTGTGGTGTTTACAATATTCCTTTATACCAAGTGTGGTGTTTACAATATTCCTTTATACCAAGTGTGGTGTTTACAAGATTCCTTTATACCAAGTGTGGTGTTTACAATATTCCTTTATACCAAGTGTGGTGTTTACAAAATTCCTTTTGTACTTCCATTAAGTGTGGCAGAACACAACTCTTTGTATATTTGGCAGCTTACCAATCTGCATTCAAACAGAAGTATGGATCTCCAGGAGAAAACTAATGACCTCAACAATGGGTCACCAGACCAAGAGTAAACAATACACAACTCAGACAAGAGGCAAATAACAAATTTATTGCAAAATATTTATATCGTACACATAAGAAAAAAAAAACAAGATTTCATCTGTACCTGACAGTCATCTTAATAAAAACTAAAAAAAAAAACAGATTCCAATATTTGTTGGATGTACAAAAAGCTAATCTACATATCTTTTCAGTTTACCAAGATGAAGGATTTATACATGTACCCTGTTGCATGGTTCATCCCACTCCCCTCCAAGTTAACACCCCTCTGTTTAATGGTTCAAACCTAATGACCCCCCCCCCCATGGGTTAAACCATTTATCAAGAAAGGGGGGTGTAGGGTTAAAGAGGTGCTTGCAAAACAAATCACAGATCAGCAACTCTCTCCTTGTTTTAAATATCTGACGGAAAAAAAGTTATTGCCCATCTTGTAAAAAAAAGTCAAAGCATTTGAATTTGTGATCAGTAACTCATTCAAGGAACCAGCCTTTTTAAACTTTAAAACACTCCCTGACAAAAATGTTGCAAATATTTCTATAGTTTAAAATGAAATTTCACTAGATTTGTCATTAAAACGCACACACACAACAAACAAAACCTACGAATTTCACAATTCTGTTTTGAAAAGAAAGTGAAACAAATTTGGGTATTTAAAAAATACATTGTGCACACTACAAGTTGTTCAAAACGCGAGTAATTCTGAGAGTTGTAACTACAAATATACATGACTTATCATCACAAGAAGCCTTTAATTATGACCAAACGGGACACACACAATGCCAAATGACTTCTAGACGATTATAGGAACTGCATGGTTTCTATAAGGTATGTAAGCATACACTGTTGTTCTGATGATAGCTAAAATGTTAAATTTTCACTGCTATAAAAACTTGATAGCATTCAGTGGACAATAAACTGCAAGCCTTTGTGAACATAGCGAGTATATTAAGTAGGTTTCTGGAGTCTAATCTGTGAACAGATAAGATTTTTGAAAACCAAAACGTTGATTGCAATATTTTTGAACACAACACCCCCATGACTACAAAAAGGAGGAATAGATAGATACCCCCAACATTACCCGACTCCAAATGAACCCATAGAATACACTTGTAACACAGCTGTAACTGAGATAAGTGTGAAGATGAAACTGAAAAGATTATTGCACAGTATTATTTCAAAATATATGAGATTACAATCATCATGCAATAGTCCCATTTAGTGAATTTTACCAATGAAATGATACATGTAAATAATACGCAAATGGGCTACTTGGTATGCATAAATTAGTACTTTGTAAATTAGTACATTGGAGTAGTGACAACAACAAATACCAAACCATATGAGCATACTTTATTTTTGTTTGGAGTTAATTTTCGCCGAAGGAATGATTCAATTCAAATAAAATCCAGCGAATATACCTTTTTCCCTATATTTTACATTAAACTCATCAAAAATCAATGAAAATAAATTCCATACAAAATACCCAAAAAGTCTTTTCAGTGAAAATTAATTCTAACATCAAACCAAGTTATATTTTTATGACTCAGCAAACCATACAGTGTGTAAATGCAATTATGGTACCTTACTAATGGAGAAAATACGGTATCTTTGATACATTTTATCTTCTTTTTACGAACTCCCATTTCAAGGAATAATATTTGCGATTGTTAACATTGTCTTTTTATAGTTATTGATAAAAAAGTATTTTGATAGAAAAGGATTTCTGAAACCTGTAGCAAAAACGAATTCTTTAAAATAGAACAGGCAATATGGTTTTGTCATTTTTCGGGGTAGAAAATGACCAAAAAAGACAGCTTATCGTTACATTTAAATGAACTGAATGTTTGACCGCAACAATTTGCACTTTTGATAATTTGAGGGTAGCTGTGAGAACTAAATTTGAACTTGCGAAATTCATGAACCTGTCTCATGAATTTACAGCAGTATTGTGACCCATACATGTGCACTTACAAAACATGGTGCATTGTGGGACGGTTGCAAGTTAATGATGTAACTAGTAAAGATTTGAATCTACTGTAACAACTAAGATGTGTGCAAGTGGATAATGAAGCACCACTGAATTGGAAAAATAAAACTTTCCACTCAATCATTTCTTCAAAACAAGACTTTCTACAGGTTTTAACTTTAGACGACGCTATCACTATTAAACAACTTGAAACAGTCAACTGCATGTATACAATGTGAAAAAAAAACTTCGAATCAAGAACATAAAATCTGTTATTTCCATTTGTCCCAACAAGAAACACTGTAAGCAAAGTTTGAAGATGTTTTTTTTTTTATAATAAATAGCACAAAAGGTGCCCTGATAGTTACATGTGTGAGTAAAAAAATGAGAGCGCTTATAATTTCAGAAATTTTTTAACTTAACCCCCCTTCACATACGATTAAATATCCCTTTTCAGGAATACCTTTTAGCACAACATTCCATGCATATCTTGAAAAGAGCTTATTTTAATTTAAAAAAGTCATCTGAGTTTAACAACATTGTGTATACGTGGTCAACCATCAGCTGATACACAAAAATATTTAATAAAAAAACTTTGTTTGCAAATCTGGCTGGTTTGCATCCCTCTTAATACATATTTATCCACAAAGAGGGGTGTGGGGGGAGTGCAGGGAATTGATCCAAAGAGGAATGTTGCTTTACCAAATAATCTTGTAATAAATGTTTCTTTTTCTCCTGCCCACTGTTAAACAATTAATCTTGTTCCAAGCTTGCCTGTCAGAAACATAATTAGGCTATAGCCACTTTCCAGGAGGTAATGTTTGAAACTCTTTCAGGCTTCAGCCTCTTTCTAGGGTATGTAAGAAATGCATTTTGGTTTCAGCCTCTTTCCAGAGCTTGTTAGAAACATGCTTTCAGGATTCAGCCCCTTTCCAGGGTATGATAAAAACACTTTTAGTCTCTTCACAAATCTTGTTCAAAATACTTTTCCAGGCTTCACTCTCTTTCCAGGGAATGTTAGAAACAATTCTAAGCCATCATCTTATTTTGACATGGGTTTTTTAAAGTCACTTTTGGGCATCGTTCTTTTCTCCGTGTATTTACGGACTTGGGAGATGACTAGCATAGATTGCCATTCTTTCTTGTTGATGAATATCTTTCACGCTTTGTAATATTCGCTTCATGTGACCCACTTTGGTTACGCCAAGGTCCTAAAGACACAAAAGATCATTAATAACATGTAGAATGTCATCAAATTTTAGAAATTTTGACAAAATTAATAATCTACACGATATTTCAAAAGTGTGCAAAATAATTGATTTTTAGCATGAGACAAACCGAACAAATGCTAACATAAATTCATTACCTTCAAATCTCGTCTTTCAAGGGTGAGCAGCTCTGAACCCCTTATGTCATGTCTGATGAAGTTTTCTTTGTATTCACCCAGTGATAAATCATCTAACCAGGCTCCTACGTCTTCAGTTCCCCAAGTCCGCACTAAGCCTAGTAAATGACAATTAAAATAACATTGCCATTCAAATTCCAATGATAGATCCCACAGGACACTACAATTGCTTATTGCCATCTGAAGGCCATAATTTTTCTCACCAAAATTGTGCACATTTTCATGCATTTTTTCATAAATAATTTTATTCGTAATTTTGGAAAATTATATAAAATGCTTATTCGCTACAGGTTTTGATGAAATTGAAGAATGGGAAAACAAATATTTTTTTTTTTTTTTTTGTGAAAAGTGACCTACCCGGTGAGTTGAGTTATTAGTAATATATATACTGTAGCACAGAAGCAAGAAATTTGGATTTGGCCAATAACTACTTTCTTTGACGAAATTTGTGATGTTGGTGATGAAGTTGGTGATGAAAAAATGTTTAATAACATTATGTTACTCACCCAGTCGTAAGGAAGCTTCCTGGTTATAATCTGCAGCTGAAGAGAGAAAATCGTAGATTTGAATAATTCACTATTTTTTGGGGGAAGTACGCCAACTGAAAACATCATTTAATACTTGAATGTTAGCAGCTCTGTCTGGGTAATAGCACATTAGCTACAGAGAAAACTTGAGAAATTCAAACACGCACTGCACAATGTACCGTACTTATCCGGGTAAGAGCCCATGCCTGGACAAACGCCCACCCCCCCACTTTTGACACAATAAAGAAGTTGAGGTCATATCCGGGCACACGCCCAGGGGTCTTTTTCTACAAAAAAACTATTTCCTATTCGCTGACTGTGGTTGTATTAACAGTTGACTTTCTTGATGTCAGTCGTGATACTTATAAAAATTGTTAATTGCGTAAAACAAGGGGTGAACGCAAAATAGCTGTGACAGCTTTCTGCCTTCAGGGCAGCGCGTTCACCGCTGATTTTTTTCAGAATCATAACAGTCAGCAAGTCTATAAAAATAAATATAAAAGCAGAAACGGTAGTTCTCTTTTTGAAATATGTCGTAGCCCTAAAAAGGGTCGGCCGTTTGGTTTGTGCTTCTTTAGAAACGATTCAAGCAAATCGCATAAGGAGAGCCGCTAAGCAAGTGTCGCACTCGTTCGGCTTTAGCGTCGTCGACAAAGAAACCAATGTTGCAATATTGTAGCAACCCGTACCTGGGAGAATGATTGAAATCACGTTATTTTGGCTTCATAAATATTTTGTAGCAGCTTGCGAATCCATAACTGGGGCCAGCAATTTTGCAATGTCACGCCGAAGACTGCCAACCTTTTTTACCATCTTTTATCACCGCTATTGCATTTCTGTCATGAAAACTATTCTTCTGTCGTTGGATAAAAAAAAAAAACTTCCTATTTCCACGGCGATATCCATATAGTGAGACATTCCAACCGCCGGAACTTGCTGAATGATAACTTTCACCGTGATTAAGGTAGCGAGAAGGGAAATTTTCACTTTTTTCTTGATTTTTCACAAATTGATAAAACGGTTACTTTAGACCTTGATACATCACCCCAGGTTTACAAAAGATCGAAATTGCGAAATAACGTTGCTCAAATTAGTGTTTTAAAACACTAGC